GTGCACTTTCAGTGCAAACTAAAACATCGCACATGGAAAGAGACTGTCTCCAAAACAGAAAATGTCCAGCGACTGCTACCACATAAAAGTTTCCAGGACAGAAAGCTGTTACTGGGCTTCACTTTCTCCTGCAACCTATAAATTGCAGCACAAACTCTGTGATTATGGCCTTTCCTTCCCGTCTAAACGTTCTGTTAAAGAAACTTTCCTGCCTGACTACCCAGGAGCCACTCTGGTAGCCACACTCCCACCTCCAGGATTGTAGTTGCTGGGACTGAGACTCCTTTATAGCAGGCACCTCCAGTGGCCAGTGGGTACCCCACTTGACTCCCTGGACACCCCACACTCACACAATCAGACAAAGTTTCCTTACCAGCTCGATCCTCGGTTTCCCGTAGCAGAGTCTCAGTTGTCTGGATTCTTTAAGTAATTTAGTCACTGGGCAACAACAAAATAACTGCTCGAGATGATGCCTCTGCGGAGGGACCCTCAACAAAGGAATCCTGGGGATTTTGTACTCTTACAGGCTGTGTGTGCAATAGTATGGGGCCTTCCTGCTGTGTTATTGAGTCCTGCTGTGTCCCTGAGTGCCAGGTCACCTGGCCTATGCCACAAAGGTCCCCATGCCCTTTGTTATGCAAAGGGTCGGCACCAGGTCACGTCCCCTGGCCTGTGTCTCTCACTGTTTCCCCCACCCAGGAACAACCTGCAGCTCTCACTGCAGCTGTACACCCAATTACCTGCTCTAAATCCCGTACCTGTACTTAGGTGGGGTGACCTGATACCACTGAGCACACTTTCTCCACTCTTCAAACCTTTTTGCATACTGGGTCAAGTGTTCATCTGCCAGTGGATGGGGGCACATGGACCATGGCTGGGTGTGAGAGGGAAGGGATGTCAGGGGCATTAAAAGTGGAAGCAGAAGTCCAGCAACAGCTTTTGGTCCTATCACCTTTATTGTGGGAGCAGTCAATGAGCTTTTCCAACTTTAGACCTGGGCTCTGTCCAGAGTGAGAGGATGTGGTGGTAAAACATGAGAGTGGGAAGGAAAGCATAGAGTCGCAGTGTTGGTGGGATACCAATTATTTAGAAAATAATTCTGGAAATAATGCACTTACCTAGCCAACTAAATGTACAATGACACTCTCTAAATCACCACAAGTATAGCTACAAAGTTGAAAACCTCCAGAGACTACACAACAGAAAGCTGTTGGCCCTTACCTCCCCTTGGAGCCTATGAACTGCACGACCAGCACTGAGGTTATGTGCTTTCCTTCCCACTAAAGGCACCATCACATTATTTACTCTGGGCAGAGCTCAGCTCCAAAATTGATAACATCCAGGCACTGCTCCCACTTCAAATTTGCCAGGACAGATGGCTCTTGCTGGCCTTTACCTTCCTGCTGTCCCTGTTTCACAACACCACTAGATGGGGCGATGCACTTGCCTATCAAACTAAATGTACCCTGGCACTGTGTCAAACCAAACATTGCTCCAAACTGGAAAATCACTAGGTGTCAGAACAAGCAGAGATTTCTGCTGTTGGCTGGGGCTGTGAGTAAGCATCAAAGGGCAGCAACAGCTCTTAGTCCTGGCCCCTTCCTTATGGGAGCCCTTACGCTGAAGGTTTTGTCTTTTGAACCAAGGCTCCGGTTAGAACGAGGCAGTGCTTTAGGAAAACTGTTAGGAAGAGAAATAAGGGCAGAAACTTGGTGTTTGTAGGGCCGGGAACCAAGGCCACCCAGAAAAGCGCATGGAGACACTGGCATACATAGAAAGGCCCAGGGAAAAGCCCATCGGTCTCACCAAGAGGCACTTAGAAGCTTTGGATCTGTACAGAAAGTGATCCTGAAGGGTGTAAGGTGAACAAAAGCATACATGGAGGTCCCTGGGCTGTGACCAAGGGCATTCAGAGGACCCTGAGGTACACAGCCATAGCCACAAGTGGAGGTTGTGATGGCTCTATCCAGTTTACTCTGGCTTTGGGGACAGATGGCAATGTGGTAGCCAAGGGCTGTCTCAAATGCTGAGCCAGATGTCTGGCAGGTATGGAACTATGAGTATAATCTTACTTTTTAAGCAGCGGACAGCCCAGGGCCAGTTGAACTCTCCTGCACATCATCAGGCTGCATGCCAGGATCTCCCCTTGAACAGAGGGGCCTCTCAAGACTTTCCTTGAGAAACTTTCTCTGGCTGAGACTTTCCTTGCCACAGACTCTGGGTAAGTGATTGATAGTACACTAAACTTTGAAAGATATATAAAGGATTCATTGTGCATATTTATAATCCTATAGATAAAAACTGTTGACCAAGTCTGAGACTAGGATTGGATCCAGATGCACCCAAACTCCTCTCTGAGAAGAAGTTTAGAAAGCAAGGGGACTTTTCTGAATTTGTGATTCAATGGGAGAGTCTCCCTGGCTGTTTTGTCTGACCCAACCACTCATGCAATAAGTAATCATAAAATCGTATGGTTTGGGTTGGAAGAAACCTTAGAGTTCCAGCCCTTCTGCCATGGGCAGGTACACATACCATGAGCAGGTACACCTTCCACTACACCAGGTCTGCAGTCCTCAGCACAAGAAACACATGGAGCGGCTCCAGAGGAGGACCATGAAAATGCCCAGAGGGCTGAAGCACCTCTCCTACAAAGACAGGTTGAGATAGCTGGGATTGTTCAGTCTGGAGAAGAAAAGGCTCTTGGGACACCTCATTGCAACCTTTCAGTGTTTAAAGGGGGCTTACAAAAATGAGGGAGAGCAACTTTGTACAGGGCAGATAGTGGTAGGACAAGGGAGAACAATTTTAAACTAAAGAGGAGAGATTTAGATTAGGTAATAGGAAGAAATTCTTTACTTCAAGAGTAATGAGGCACTAAACAGGCTGCCCAGAGAAGATGGGGGATCCCTGGAAGTGTTCAAGGCCAGGTTGGATGGGGCCCTGAGCAACATGATCTTGTGTCTGGCATCCATGCCCATGGCAGGGGATTAGAATGAGATGATCTTTAAGGTCCCTTCCAGCCTAAACTATTCTATGATTCTATAATATTGGGTAGTAAATTTTATTTTGAAAGTACTCATCCCTCATTTCTATTGTCCTGTCATAGACTAATTTTATGTGGGGTTTAATGTCCCTGTTTTGTCTGTGGTTAATGATTTTTCTTTTAGAAAAGTAATTGTCTTATATTGGGAAATAGGTGCTGCAAGAGTGCTGCAATAAAATTTGAGCATTTTTCACAGCATGTCCTTTACACCCTATCCATATCTTAAAGGGATTTATCTTTCAAGAAGAATGTGTGTAGCTGTTACACAGATAAAAAGAAATAAATTCTTGAAAAACAGGCATAAGATGAAGATATCCAGAGATGCATAATTTTTGGAAGAAACCTCAGTGATAATCATCTCTAACATGAATTTTGCAGCAGTTGGTGGGTAGAGGTGAAGGCAGTAAGAGCCATTGCAGCCATTCCCCACTAACCCTGTGTAGTATGGTAACAACCTAAAATGTTATTGCAGCAGTACTTGATAATTCCAGTTCTTAAACCAAACGCTTTCTGTAAAACACAATTGTTGTTGCAAACATGGCCATAGTTTTCTGATTTTCAAGAATGAGACTTTTAGGGCTAAAGAACAAAGGAACTCAACAATGAACTCAGGTTATGTGGAATAACAGGCTGCAAAGGCATCCATTGGAAAGCAAGACCAAAGCCCCATCAAAACTCCCTGAAAGCCACTTGTGGTTAGCCTAATATTGTTGATGGATTTACAGTTGCTTAAATTTGTAATGTGTAAAAAACAATGTCCATGAACACTACCAAATGGCTATGATGCTTTCAAAAAACACAATTGAATTTTCACATATCATCCTTCATTCTAACCGATTTACTTATTGTAAAGTTAAGGTAGGGAGCACCTGAGGGCACTTACTGCACATTAATTTTTATTGGTATATGTAAAACTGTATATCATAGGCTGCTTTGAGGAATTAAACCCATGGTTATATAGATGTGGGCGAAAGTTCTATAAAAACCTTGCCACAAATAATAATTTGCATTTCAAAATTAATGTACTTCAGCGAATGCTTATACTCTTTCCAGAACTGCTTCTTCCAAATTCAAAAGTTACTTGAATTCATCTTCGTGAGGATTAATAGAAGAAAAATTCAAACTTCTATGCATGAGAAGTTGCAAAAAGTGACCTTGGATTTCACAGAAGTTAATATTTCCATCAAAATTCTTTATAATAAAAATTATATTAATTCTACCATATAAAAGAATTGATATCATGTGAACAGTGGCATCTCACCAATACGGCACAAAGAACAGTGATAAATAATTGCAGTGAACTCTTTTTTGGCTCAAAACACTAAATATACCAAGTATATATAGATTAATATAATTGCATAGATGACACCAGTAGGCAAGGAAGATAGCTGCTTGATAAATAATGCAGAATAGAGTCTTTTTTCTTTGTTAACTTGGTTGACTGAGCCAGTTAAATCCAGACAAATAGAGAGGACTGAATTGCTCATTTTGAACAACATATCGAATTCTAGAATATCTGAGAAATGCAACGGTTTAGGGTACATTGGATCAGAAAAGTGGTTTTCTTATGAAATGAAGGAAATTTTTCTGTGTTACTCCAAAGTACAGGAACCTAACTGGGAGATGTACCTGAACAATTTCTTTTAAATGGCAGTGAAATGGGGCAGAATTTAATGTTTCCCAGTGGACATAGTGGCTAAGACAGAGCGAGGCAGGGACCTTTTAAAATCGACATTAATCTTAAGAGATGGTGCTTGGCAGAAATCACTAAGGGCAGGACAACTCCAAAATTCAAGTGCTGTTTCTGTTGCTCTGTCTTTTGAAGCAGTCTGCAATGGGTTCAACCACACTGGCAGAGGGAAGAGAGTGAGCAGAAAAACTCTCCCTCAAGTATCCATTGCAGCTTTATAATTCAGGATGTGGCACATTCTGTACTGAGAAGAAAGCATGAGGCAATTCACATCTTGTTCTCCTGCCATCCATGGGCATGCTTTCCAAACTTGTACACCAGCCTTCTGTCCACTCGTTCCAAAATGCCAGTTTTATAATAGTAAATGCAGAGGAAAACCAGGAAAGAAACAATGCACAGAGTAGTAGCAGAAATTTTTCACATGGAACTTCATGAGAGCAGAACAGTATGTGAATCACTGTGTTCTTTACAGTCAGGGAGCTCCTCTCTTTCTGTTAAATTGCTCTTGAGACTTTAAACAAGTTTAAACTTTCCCACATGCCTTGGAGTGCCTTCCACTGTTTGAGAGATACAAGAATTACAAAGAACTGTGATCTTCGATTTGTTGCACTTTTTCCCCAAGGTCATCACAGTTGAGAAGAAACTATCAGTGTTACTGGAACGGCAAAAAGAGTAATTTTGGGGGGATTGCTTGGCAAACATAACATTCTCAACTGAGATAAAGTGTGATTACTTCATTGTCATCAACAATTACAACCCTATACTGCTTTCTATTTAGCCCTATGGATTTTTTTTTAGAAGTAAAGGAGGCCAGGAGCTATCTCATGGCCTATAGAAAAAAACATTAAAAAAATAACCACACACCCAGTCCTTCCCCCCAGCCCCTATGTTTTCACAATAGTTATGAAAAATGGATGCTGGAGTAGAAGTCAAATGAAATGGGGGATACTGCTGCCTGTTAACTCACCGAAGAGCTCTGCTTAATTTTTCGTATGTCATTCTGTCATTTTTCTTCCTCTGTCCTCACATCTTTGCCAGAGCTTCTGATTTAACAATACGAAAAATGCCTTGTCTCCTGTCTTCCCGTTTCAGGATACCACTGTTTTCTTCAGGAGAAAGGAGCAAATCCCTTACAAATTCCCACAAATGAGAATTCTGTAGGTCTTGAACAGGAGGAAGACAGGTATTTAGTAGATGCCTTCTTATGCATGGCAAAGTACTTAGGCAGTATTTACGTTGCATTTTATTATTGGATTGTCAACCTCACAAACCAATTGCACTTACCTAAATGTTTAAAATTTTGGTGCATTTATATATATAAATACATATATATATAAATATATATATATAACATAAAATTTAGTGCATTGCCTTGCTGGAGGTGGCTTCAAATTATTTCCTCCAGAAAAAAAATAAATCAAGTCATGCAAACACCTATGACACTAGAATCTGGGCTTTTTGCTCCAGAAATGAGTACACTTTAGTGTCTTGCCAGGTTTATGTCATTCATATATTCTGTTCCACTGATTGACACAGTGTTAAACTTGATGTTTTAAAAGCAATTTTCAAGGCAATTTTAAGTGTTTCAAGTGAAAGATTGCAACAAGCATTGCTTGCCTTGAAAACGAGACAGTAGTATGAGGAATTAGAAAGCCTACTTCCCAGCATTGCTAAACCATGTTATATCAACTCAGTTCAAAAGTTTGTTTGAGAATCAGAAGTGATATAAATAATTTAACTCTACTGAAAAAGCTGCTAGTGTTGTTATACGCAGAAATCACCTTAACTTCAGTTTAGTCATTTGGAGCAGCCCTACAGAGGACTTGGGGGTGCTGGTGGGTGGACAAGAGACAACTCTGTGTGCTCAGAGACCAGGAGGCCAAATGCATCCTGGGCTTCACCAAAAACAGCATCACCAGCAGGTGAGGGAGGGGATTCTGGCCTTCTACTCTGCTCTGGTGAGATCCCACCTGAAGTGCTCTGTCCATGTCTGGGGGTCTCAGCACAAGAAAGACATGGACCTGTTAGAGCGGGTCCAGGAGAGGACCACTAAGTTGATTAGAGGGTTGGAGCACCTCTCCTATGAGGACAGGCTGAGAGAGCTGGGATTGTTCAGGTGGGAGAAGAGAAGGCCTTGGGGAGACCTCATTGTGGCCTTCCGGTACCTTAAGGGGGCTTTTATATAAAGAAGGGAGAGGGACTTTCTGTACAGACAGATAGTGATGGGACAAGGGCCAGTGGTTTTAAACTGAAAGATAACAAGTTTAGATTAGATGTTAGGAAGAAATTCTTTACTGTAAGGTAGGTGAAGCACATCACTACAAAAGAACAGGTTGCCCAGAGAAGTTTTGGCTGGCCTGTTCCTGGCCTGTTTAAGGCCGGGTTGGATGGGGTCCTGAGCAACCTGACCTAGTGAATGACATCCCTGCCCATGATAGGGGAGTTGGAATGAGGTGATCTTTAAGGTCCCATCCAACCCAAACCATTCTATGATTCTATGATTCTAAGTGAATAATTAGCATGCAACTGTATGTATTGCAGCACAACAAAACATGAGTTTTTTTCTAAATGCTCTGCTCAAAATGCTTGGATTCTGCAGAAATGTGGAGTTTGGCATACAGTGTGCATGCATGCAGTGCACCTCTCCATGACGTGCAGTCAAAGGATTTCTAGGCTTAGTGCTGTGCAGTACTTCTCAAATGTCAAAACTGCCTCAGCATTAAAGAAAATTAAAGAAGAAGCAAAGGCCCTCATTCTTTTTCATTTTTAGAAATCTCTCTCTTCGTCTGCTACATACTGCTGGTGTTTGAATACAGTGTTTCCTGTTGAATGGAGCTTATCATGTACAAACAAGTTTACTTACAGTCCTTGTTTGATGGCATTGTTACTTCTGCATCAGTAAAAAATGAAATGCCTAAAAAAAAAAAACCATAATCCAGTGTTCAGTTATTTTCTTCACAAGAATAACTTCTGAACTAAAATCTAAAGCCAAGTCCTTTTCTTCTGCATCATTGCTTGTGAATGTACCTCAGAACAGATGAAGAAAATACAGGCTGCAAAACCACAAAATAATTTTACAACTCATCTGCTGCAAAAATGATCTATCCTTCCCTCTGTGACTATGTTTGTGTTGTTTGGGGATTTTTTTTTAACTTTTAGGGGTTTTTTTCTTACGCTTTGCGTTTTATCTGTATGTCTGTGATCTTATGATTCATGTGCATTGTTTCTTTTCCCTCTGGTCCCTTTGCACTTCATTTTTGCTGTTCTCTATATCACAGCTTCTCTCCCTTTCTCTCACTTAGGTTAGTCTTTTCTTGTTCAGCTCTATGTCCCTTGAAAAATACTCCTGCAGTCTTTCCTCCCTCCTTCTGCTAAGTGAGTAAAGGTCATCTCTACGGCTGGAAATCAGATCTTCACAGGGCTGGGAACTGTCTGCTTTTTTAGGACAGTATCATCTTTTAAATGAGTATTTACAGTCTCAACACATAAATAAATGCATTGCATATACAAATATGCATTCAAGAGACTTAACTCATGCTGTGAGTGTGGCATACAAAATTGGGAAAAGCTAGACTTAAGCCCGCTTGTGCAGCCATAGTTTGGTCATTAAGTATGTTGTAATAATGTCTTGCTGGGCTACATACTGTCTTTCCTCACAGGTCTTATGCAATTTATAAGGTGGATATGCATGAGCTGTTGTATTTTGTTCACTGCCAAGTGTTCAATCTCTCTACTGACTATAAAAAAAATAATTTTCTTAATGAGATTTTCTTCACAGCTCTGAATTCTTTAATTCCCTTAATAACATCCTTATCTACTGCATTTAATAATTGCCTTCTGAATGGCCTCTGTGACATGATATATGAATACTAACTGGATGGAAGAAACTGATGGCAGTCAATCCCACAGCAGAGCAGTGCCAACCTAAACCAGAGGGCTATTTTGTTCCTGTGACAGTCTCTAGTCTTTCTCATCTCTCCCAGTCTTATCTGTCCTACTGACGACAGTCTCAGTCGCCATACAACCCTGCTTCATTTTGATAAATCTTATCCACATATTTTCTTAAGCACTGCCTTTTCTCTGGTCTTCCCAGTCTCTCAAAGATCCTGTTTCAGCTTCAGCCTGCCCTTCCCTGTTTGTTGTGTACCCAAGTCACCCTCTACTGCTGCATTCTGCCTTGCCACCTCTCTCCCCACTGGGCAGTTCAAAGGTAGGTAGTAGACCAGGAAGGGGTGGATAAATTCCAGCACATTGTGACTAAGCAGCTGCTCCCCACTGGAAGCTGGTGGCAGTGTCAGCTACCATGAGGTCCTCTAGGACTTGCATGCCTAAGTCTTTAATCCTTTTCCAGCAGTCATATAACTCTAGTTTGGTCAAATACTCCCCTAAGCCAGAGAAGGCTTGAGCCACTGAGGGCTTCAAGGAGCTAAAATTCTCCTCAGTTTCTCATTGAGAGGGCACAGGGAAATGACATTCTGAATTTCCCTGCTTAGTGGAAACTCCTTTGTTTGTAGCATCACAATGAATCTGAGTGCGATTGCCCTAGTTAGGCATACACACTAATCTTTGGTAGGCGTGACTTTAGAGAAAGGGTATCTGCAGCAGAAATTTCACTTCTATTTCACTTATTCTAAACTATCAATAACTTAGTTTTTGAACCTCAACTCATGTAAACATTAATAAGTCTTCTAAGACAATGTTGAAAATAGTAAATTAAAAGTGTTTTCATTCAAGACCATCATTAAGCATGCTATTAATGAGATGCCTACTGCAGTGATAATAACCTCATCAAACAAAATGTCTTGTTTACTTTTTAAGAAGCAAAGCAATCTTCAATACTTTGAGTTACAGGAATAACTATGTGTTAATGTCTTTCTATATCCTGTCAGGATGTTAACTTCCCTTGGATCATTCAAGTTGACCAGTTTTAGTGGAAAAACCACAGGAGAGTGAAGTGCTTGTGTGTATTTAGGGATGTGACTGGCTCACAGTGACATACCTGGTCTGTGTGTGATTGTGAGGCCTAAGGTCACAGTGAGATTTTCTTCCTGCCCTATTTCTGTGTATTCCTCGTGCAGTATCTAAGCGACCTCTGCACTTTGCCTTTCTTCAGTGCTCAAGAATGTGGATCCCACATTTTCTTTTAGTGCGAAACACACAAAAATTCAATGTTTTATGCTTTGTGTTTGATTTCTGGAACACTAACCATGCATCCTGATATTCTGTAAGATGAAATACAAGAATTCACCACAAATGCCTGCAGCTTCTAGGAACTCTTCCTGGGTCATGTTGCATAACTGCAAGCCATTGATATTAAAGTGGGGAAAGTAAATGCAGTTGGCATCTAATTTGTACTGATCACAGCAAAACTGCAACCATTCACAGACGTTGTGCTCACTCCAGTATTCTGTGTGGATAAATGTCCAGAAAGAATTAGGATCTGCAACATATTTGACAAGAAAAAGGAACACTGCAATGAAAAATTCATGGTGCACTTAATTTTAATAAACATATTTCAAACAAAAACAATCCTTCTTCCTTCTCTGGACTGTAGTCTTCCTTTCTTATTCCTCTAGAACACATCAAACCCTGTGTTTTTCATTTTTTGCTTTCTATTGTATAGCCTTTTGTATTTCATCCTGTGTGAGACATTTCAAGAGAAGGTGCTTACACATGGAAAAAAAGAAAATATGCCTCTTAATACTGCAGTCCAAAAAAATTAAAAAGTCGAAGTACAGAATTTGTGAGAATTGAGCACTCTGTAATATAAAGTATTCGTGGACTAAAGTAACTTCGGTCTTAGATGTGAAAATAGTCAAAGCTACCTTGTTACATTTTGTGGTAGATAGGTGAATAACATTAATTTATTACATTTTTTCTTAGAATTCCAGTAAATTATTTCATTTATTTAATCTAAAATAATGTTAGTGTCATCAAAGGGAATATTTGTTTTGTTAGATTAGAAAATGAAAAACACACTATTCTGAAAACACATCACTGGACAAAAAGCTTCCAAGTAAACCTACCATGCAGTTGTAACCTAAAATTTCTTTTCCAATTAAATCCCAAATTTTTTAAACAGTCTTCTCTCCTTAGCAGTGCAGTTACCAGGAAAATGTACAGAAATATACATATATTTGCAATAATTTTTTTCCCCTAAAGAAACATATTACTGATCTTATGTCTAGGCCTGATATGATAAATCTATATCCTACAGTTAACAAGCATAATCTGTAATTTAAACACTTTTTTTCCCCTAGAATCTAAACACAGGCTCTTATTGTTGAATTTGGTTGGGTAGAGTGATGGGCACACTTTTTAAAAAATCTACTTCCTCTTTTCATGAGCTAGACTGCTACACACAGGCAAAAGTCTGATCTTGCAATCTTCTGCTGGATGCATAAGCAGTTACCTTTTTTGGGTGATTGTAAGAAGCAGAAGCAATGGCAAGGATATGTCCTTTCTGTATCCATTGAAATAACATTTAGTGAAAGCAGAATTCAAGAATGCATGTTGGAATCATTATTTTCACTCATTCATTACTCAATTTTCTTCTATTCTTTTTAAGGATGACTCGTAATTTCTATCAGTTGAGATTCTTAAGCAGTTACGGAATCCAATCCTGATCCTTGTGTTAGGATCTTTGGGGATTCTAAATTAATTTTTGTTATATTATCTGTAATACTTATAGCACTGGAGTGGAGTAGATGCAGAAGAGTAAATAGCAAAAGAAAGGCAATCAAACATGTGAATGTAAAGAAAACAGAAAAGGTTTAGTTCATTTTCACGTCCCACAGCATCTTACACTTGATCTGTATTTCAGTTTCTTAGTCCAGTTATCTATTATTTATTACTTCATTTTCAAATATATTCTGAATATTTGATTTTAGGAATTGCTTATATGAAATTGTAATTTAAAAGAGGTTATGATAGCACTGCAAGTCGAGGAATAGTATCTGTCTGTCTAGACAGCCAGTTCAGAGTGCAAAATGATGCAAATAGGCTGGAGGAGTTACCATAGCAAAATTAATTCGAAGGGCTTGAAATTGTGACAGAATAACTGTAATATGGATCTTGCATCCTACATGGCTTCTGTAAAGTAATTAATACTTCTAATTACTTTAATTACAACTCCTAGAGGTTTACAGAGGAATTTGTGGTTGCTTTCATGAATCATTCCCATGCTATAAATATCTTCATATGTATGCACATACAGGATTAATGTAATATTGCATGCTGTGTTTTAAACCCTGAGACGCTACTGTGACATTGTAGCAAAGCCAAGAGGTGGGCAGAAGCTCTGGGTCTGACTTTTGGGACCCATACCTTTAGGATATTTGAATCCCAGATTTTATTCACCTCCTTAGTTAAAAGGAAAATCAGATGAGCTTGCCATTGGATTAACTTTATAAACCCTGCAGACGGAACACACCTGGCTATGTCAGAGTCTGAAGGCTTCTGTGGGGGAGAATGGGAGTGCTGGGAGCAGCAGACTCACAGGCCTTCTGCCAGGTAAAAAACAAAAAGCTTTAAAATTAGGCTATAGCTCTACTGGAATCCCAACTTCAGAGGTTGCTCAAGAGAAGCAGAAAGTTGAATCGATCCTTTTCTGAATCAGGCATGTTTTTATTTATTTTTTTTTTTTCATCCTCTGCCAACAGCCTCCAGCCCCCCTTAGGAAAACTGGAACATCATCACATCCTTAACTAGGTAGATTTACCAGGAGATGGGTGTCCCTGTGGGGCTGGGCATGAATCCAGCCCTGTGTTTCAGGGGCTGCTCTGTGACCTGCTGCCACAAGCCAGTCTAGATCCTATCCTGTACCTGTGTGCAATACGTAGCTGAGTGAAAAGGTCATGGCTTCCCTTTTCTATCTACAACTTCACTTTTTTATCCACAAGAGTGTTGAGTTGCTCATTTTTTTTCTACCTTAAGGCAATATGAAAGAAAAGCAGAAGTATTTATTCTGCCAATCCACAGGTACAGTGAATAACTTTGAAATACTTTGACCATTGGGCTTGGAACTTTGACTTTGTTTTGATAAATATAATTTTCTCTGACAGTATTTGTATTGTCAATTAAATGATGCAGCATGTTTCCTTCATGGAACAGCACTCATGTAGTCCAGTTTCTGTGTTTGGTTTTAGAAAGACTCAAATCATTCTTTTCAAATATGCCATGGCCTCTTGAAGTACTATTGTATATGATGAGCATTTTAAAGGTGCTGACATCAACATCTCACCTTTGCATGTGCTCATGGCTTTTCTATGTCATATCAGAGTAAAGAATTGAGGAAGCTTTCCTATCTTGTAAATGATGAATGTGACCAAGGTGTTATGCCACTAAGGAGAGAAAGATCAGCCAAAGACATAGAATCTATGAAAGATTTCAGGGGTTTTTTTTAGCGAAAAAGAAAGGGGCAGGTAAAATTTCATACCACCATACAAAAACATGAGGGTCAATAGATCCCCTAACAACAAGAACATACCAGAATTGTGCCTAAAACAGGATGATGATGGGTAGCAGGGGTGCAGAAGAAAACACAGAATTCAGACCTTTTCCATTCCACCATTTTAAGGTGATTTCCACTGCCTGTTCAGCTGCACTGACCATCTTATTGTACTTCTTGTTGAGCCTGGGTTGGGCAGTCCTTGGAGAACGGCGTCTCTTGACCTAACCTTCCCAGACTACAGAGCTTGTTTCAATCAAGAGACTTGATTGAAGTTCCCTGGCTAAGGTGACACCTCTAAAATGAGTCTCCTGCTTTGTGGGGGATGTGGTTTTATCAGTGGTGACAAGTGAAGCTGTGGAAGGCAATAATTCTCAAGTAGGTTTAGAAATGCACGCCAAATAAAAGACAGCTGTCCAGATTCTTCCAGGCATACATTGACTGCTGCATGGCATATGCAGGCAAGCTAATATAGTATGTGTGTGATGTATATATGGAGGGAAATACTGCCATCACTCGAAACAAAACTGCCTGATCTCTTTATATGTAGTACAGTTTTAATTATAGGGCGGGCAGATCATTTCTGTGTAACATGATCCACCTTTTTGTCAGCTGGAAAAGACATTTAATTTAGTCATAATGCTTGAAATTTAGAAGTTCAGAATTTATGTGAATTTTCTGTATTATTTTGCCCTTTTCACCAAGTGCTGGAAAACAGAGAAGAAAAATTACACAATGTTTTTGGTTTCACAAATGTTAACATCCTCCACTTTGTATTAAAAAAAATGCCCTCAAATACAAATGTTAATATATTCTGACAGCCAGAAAATAAAAGCAGTAAAATTACCAATGTGGGAATGTATAGGAAAACTAACTCTTTAGTTCTTCCCATGGGAGCATGGGGGTGGCTGCACTGTCCCTGATGAAAGTCTCTCTAAACCAGGGACTAGTGTTTTTTCTAGAGCAGGAGTAAGCCCAGCAATAACCTGTAAATAAGTTATCTTCATCTGTTTCTTTCTAGGCAGTCTTGCCATCACTTTCTCTTGTTTAACTTGAGCTTCCACTTTGTTTCTAGCAAGCACAAAACAGGTTTTCAAAAGACATCGGGATCACAATTCTTAAGCCTTAATATTACTGTCACCAGAAAAAAGTGCAGGTTGAATGTTATTAGGCTGACCTACATTCTACTCTGGTTTCAGAGCAAAGTACTTTTCTGTTCAAGGGCTGCTTATGCAATGCAGTGGTGGCTTTATCTGTGTGTGCTAGACGTGTTTTATGTACTCCTTGTCTCCTGTGGAAGAAATTATAAGAGAATTCGCAGGCTGGTTTAAATTTGATTCAGGAGAGAAATTACTGTAGCCATAAAGGACTCCTAGAAAGCCTAAAAGCATGAAGAATTGAGCAATAGAAAACATGTGCAGGAAGAAACACAGCTCCTACCTTGGTCAGAAGAGGCTAATTACTTCCTCAGCTCATCTTTGCTTAGCAAGAGGCAGTCTGACCTGATTGTTGCTTAAAGCTGTGTGTCTCAAGAACTGAGGGAGCTTTTCACTTAGCTACAAGTGGAATTCAACATGATTGCTGGAGTATAAATGCTGTACCACTGTTCATCTGGATGAATTCAGAGCAGGTGTAGCATCACAGGTCTTACACTGTTAACTAATATCAGACCACAGTAAAGTTATATATTGCCAACATGCCTCAGATGGGCTGCTTTGCCTTTGATGTATCTGCCAATATCAGAAGTTACCTTGGGATTATTTCAATGTCGGCGTCGTGGGTTTTGTATTTGGGGAGTTCTATTTGTTTGTTTAAAGAAGTGAAAGAAGGTTGAATTACAGGCAGATCTTTAATAAAAATCAAGGCAAAATAAGAAGAATTAGTCAGAGGGATCCAAAATTAACTTTGAGTGAATCATATCAGGTATTTAAAAGTGCATGTTTAAATTTTAAAACAGAAGGCTTTCTGTGATTTTTGGAATTTCAAATAAAAGCTAGGACTGTATTCTAAGATGGAATAAAAACTAATATTAAACCAGTATGATTTAAAAAAAAATCAGTTTCTGCAGGGCTTTAAATACAACCATCTTGAAGGAAGAAGATTTATATTCTATCTCATATGTCAAACTTAGTGACATAGAAACAAAACACTATGTCCTCAGTGGTCATGGATTAGCACCATCAGAAGCCATGTGGAAATTACTGTTGTTACTCAAAATCTATCTTGGTGGGAAAGGTCTTTTCTACAAGACCAGCAGTGTTCTCATGTAAAAGAACAAAAATAGCTTTGGAAGAGGAAAATTTTGCATTTTTTCCTGGTTCTCACCAAAAGTTTGGCTCATTAACACGAGTGGGTTGTACTACCTTCCTTTTCAGAGCCTTTTAAATAATTCAACCTGAGCACAGAGAAGAATGCCAGGACTATTTGGGAATTTAATCTAACTGTTTAAAAGGGAGAAGATTTCTAATAAGTCGTGCTTACTTAGGCTTCTGAATAAGGATCTGACCTGACACCAGAACATTTAGAATGAATTCCTTCAAACAGATTAGGGATTCCCCATATAAGATGCATGGCCTGGTAAAGTGTAGGTTTTCCAAAAGCACATTTAGAGCATTGCACCCTTAACATGGGCCATTTCTGTAGTGGGGAACTCTTGCACTATTACAGATGCATTTCTACAGCTGTTCTGTTCTCTAGTGGCTTTCAGAATTCAAGTCCTTGTCATCTTAGTGTGTATGTTCTCGGTCTCCACTATTCATTATGAAGTTGCAGAGCATTTGAGTAACTGTAAATCTCACAAAATAAATTACTCTTCCATTCAGCAGCTGAAGTGATGTACTGTGGGAATCTTTTCAGTGAGAAATGCTGGATTTCAAACGCACGGAGAAAACAAAGGGAGCCAAGAATCTGAAGCCATAGTTGCTGTGCCCCTCAGAATGAACTACGATGGCCTTTGAAAGTGTCTGCTTGAATTAGGTGTATCATGTTTTCAAATAAGAGGAGAAAGCATCAGTTCAACTCACTGCATGACAAACAAAACTAAAGTCCCTAGTCTTCCTGTGCACCTTTAACTGACATGGCTGGTGGTGTGCTTGAAAGATCAGTGAGACCAGAGCAGACAGTGCATGTAAGAGAAGGCTCAGCAGCAGTTCCAGAATCTATAGGCTTTTTGCTGCATGATTCGTCTAAAGTGAAATAAATTAAAAGCGCTCTTCAGTTTTTGACATTGTACAATTTCTTTTCTTTTCTATTGGAGTCTGTCTGCATACCTCTTTGACGATCACAGGCAGTAGAGACATCTTCGGATGTCCCAAATAATCTTGTCGAAGACATCAGGGGATCGCAAACCATTGTGTTTGGCAGAAATGTGCTCTGAGTTACTGACTCCAGCATCACCTTAAGACATTAATACATTAGTTGAAGGTGAAAAGATAATATTAAGGAGCAAAGTTTTAAGGCTGTAGGCATTATTCCCTATCTGTGTACGTATAGTTCCATGAGGTACTGTTGCCCATAGTCATTTAAGCTTCAGCTGGAGCTAACGCTGATCTTCTGAAAACTGCAGTGAAGGAACTGAGAAATGTAGGAAGAAGGCAGATGATTAATATGCTACAGGTAGATATTCAGTAAAAATGATTGTAATGACACATTCCTAGGAACTTGATAATGAAATTTACGGATATAAAAGTAAGAGTGAGCAATAAACCAATTAGAAACATATAGATGAGATTAACATTATGGTTTAATAATATCATTGGTAAAAAAGTTTTGAGCAAGTTCTCATACAAGTATATGAGAAAACATTGTTCTGGCCGTAAGGATACTCACTTTTTGTCTATAAGATATTGTCACAGTTGTCATCCACACCATAGTGTGAGGAGATTAACAAAGTCTGAGAAAAAAATGTGCTTTCAAAAGTGATTAGAAACTGAGAATTTATGTAGAAACATGGTTCTTCAGGGAAGAAGCTTTTTGCACAGAAAATGAGATTACTGAAAAATAAAGTGGTTGCTAATTGATGATATTTCAGTGAAAGAAACGAGTGGCAGAGGAAAACATGATCTATGATAGGAACTATAGCAGGTACAGAAGAAGAGAATTTTTGCTCATTCCATTTGCATGTACACATGCATTAATTTCCTCAGACTGGAATGGACATGGACTTCCTGCTGTTGAATAAATACATGGACCGGATTGTGGCTCTGACCTTTCAGACTTCACACAGAACTGCTCAAGCCAGTTTTGCCTCTTTTTTTCCCAGACCTAAGCTGCTTCTGTGTTTCATAACTAATTCCATCTTGAGTAATCCATAGAAGAAAGACACTTGAAATGTTTAGTAGAGTAACATGATCTGATCTTAAAGATCGATGGGCAATTTAAAACTATTACAAAGTCAAAGAAGGTGCAAATAGCTGTGTACACTGAGGAAATGGGAAGCATTCAGAAGTTTTCATGGTCTCTAGAACTGAAAGAAAAAGCTGATTTTGGTCTAAATTAAGCATTGATGAGATATGGAACATGGAAACATTTGGGAGTTCCCTGAAATGCTTTGATATACTAGAATTCAGATATATGGCAAGGTAATACTTCAGGACACCACGTTTCCACCTAGTCATATTACTGTGAATGGAACACGGGAGGCAATATTCACAGATTGTCTTAATATGGTAAACCCCTTCATTTTCTATGCATTTCTGCCAAAGGATTTGTTGTAGAATACCTCATACATATAAATGTGCATTTGGATGGACACACTATATTCTGTGAGCAGTGCAGAATTTTACAGAATTCATACAAAGTGATGTATATGAAGCTGCAACGTCTCAGATATAAACAAATCGCCAGAATTTAACTTCATGATGGTCCCAATCTTCTTTTTTTTCCATTCCTCAGACTGAGTGGCTCACACAGGGAAAGATATCTATTTACAAACAGTTTATGAAGTCAAAACAGTGGCATTTTAATCAGTTCCAAGTTGCTGCAGAATGTAATACAAAATTTATTTAGTACAACTATAAAATATTTAATTTCTTTCTGCAATTGCTTTAGTGTTTAATTCCAATACTTTAATGAGATGATGCAAGCTTACTATGAACAGAATTCTGAAGTTCACAGGACCAGGCAGAAAGAAGTCAACCAATATTTACTTCATTCCAAGTGTATTGACCCAAGTATTTCTAAAAAGCAACGATTTAGAGACTTACTCATGTTTATCATCTATGTAAAAGAGTTCCTGTCACTGTCATCCCCCCAGTGCAATGAGTAGCCTACTGTGAGTACACGCTGGAGACAACTCAGTGGTCAGAAACAAACAGCTAAAAGCCCATTGCCATCTTGGAGAGAATAGAATCTCTCTGCAGATCACTGGAGAGTCATGTTTTAAGAATGATTGCAAAGATAACCTGTTCAAAGTGTCTCTCCCACTCTGTATCTGCCCTCCCATGTGTAAGATTTTCCACAAAGAAATGTCTGGAATGAAATCCAGAATCCATGAAACACGGAAAGTATATTTGCTCAAGGTGAAACAATATCCAGGAAGATAGATCAACTGTTACAAGCAAAGAGGGGTATGAAAAAAATTAAAGGCCACTGGATTAAAAAAAAAAAATTTGAAACTAGACACATGCTTGATGCTGTAGTTTATTGTTAGGGCACCTTATTTCTCCAAGCTTGTGCAGTGGAATGGCAACCTCAGTCTCTACTGAGGGCTAGATACAGGCTTGCAGGTGTGGGGTAAGGGTACCAGCTTCAAATCCTACCAGCTGCTTCGACCACATGCCTTACAGGCAGCAAAAGCTATTTGTGAAGGAAAAATCCTGTTTTCCTCATATGCAGTCTACACTGCTGCTCCCATATAGAGCTCTGGATGCTACAGAAAATAATGTTAATTATTAATATCATTGACAAAGATATTATATTTTCATGTATTTTATGCAAACAGGATATTGGTTTGGGTCATATTGAATATTATCTTAGTGTTAGCAGGTGCTGCTTCTGTATGCACATACCTGCTTAAATACACTTGGGGGACAGAGAAATTGGAAGAGTCAATCAGGTTTTTTCAAACAACAGGAGAGCTTTACAGCTCTTAGCTTTACTCCAGCTGGTGCTAAGTTCACAGAATCTAGAAATTAGCTTTTATTAAGTCACAAACAATCTCTTTTGATTTAGTGAGACAGCCTAGATTGTTACCTTATTAAAAGATGTTGAGGGTCATGCTTGTCTCCACCATTAATTCATTAAACCAAAGCCAATTTTTCATCATTGAGAAAACTGGTGATGCACAAATGAGAATGGTAGGCAGTTCATCAGCTGAGTGTCTGATAAAATCACCACAGCAAAACCCTTTTGGCAGCCTACAGCTCTTTTATAAGCAATGACTTCAGTAAAGAAATGGAGCTTACTTTTAAGAAGGTGATTACTCCTTATGCAGCAGTTAAGTCCAGAAGTAGGTCTTGGAAGCAAGGGGGAGCAGGAGGCTTCAACAGCAGCACAGCCCAGCACTTCAGAAATAAAACCATCTGCAGGACTGTGATATATGGAACACCTTAGAGACGGGTTGGTTTGGTTTTTCAAGTTCTTATACACAACCATTTTGATGACAGTGATAATATGTAGTATAACACAGATCAGGACCAGGGGAGAAACATTCTCAAGTACAGAAAGTTTACCTTTATCCCATATTGGTTTTTTCCTCTTTCTCTAAAAGTGTTGGTTTATACAAGCATGACTTACAGACCACCTAAGCAAACCTGGTGCATGTAAGCACTTGAACTAAGGCTAGTCTCACTCCTTTTGTGACCTGAGTTTGCATGAAGGGCTATCAAATTTTGTTCAGAGCCCTCAAAGCCCAGGAAGTGGCATTCTCACCATTTGCATCTGGCAAAGACCAGGATGCAGAAAAGTGACTGGCTTAAAGTCATGCAGCAAACTACTGTGGGTGTTAGAGAAAGGACAGTGCTCACCCTCTGTCAGGTGAAATCTCTGCCAGGCTGAGCATTGTGCCTCTGAGACCCACAAAAACCTGCTGAGTTCTAGCCCAGATGAGGTTGCCTTAAGATCTGAAATGATCATTAAGGTAGTTGAATGTTCATGGATAGGATGCTTGGCATGATTGGGAGCAGTAGATCAGAGGCACCAGAGGCAGCAAGAATGAACTGGAGAATGAAATGGGTACGTCTAACATAATATGATACTTCTTTAAAATATAAATTAAGAATAGTTTTGGTCAACTAGATGGAAATATTTTTGTGCCCCAGAGCTCCATCCTAATTAGTAGTCTCTTGAGGATGCCTGCATAAACAGCAAGAACTTAAAATTTAGGCACATATGACACCTCAATTCTTCTGAGACATACTATTTCTAGTACTGAAAATACATTGGCTTTAATACATTTTAAGTGGGTTTTCTACTAATATTTTCTTGTTTGTGGAAATTTGTGAACCAGAATTGTCTTGGAATGGGGGAGTGGGGGAGGGAGAGTGATTAAATGAGACAAGAGAGGCAGGACCTTGCAGGATCCCTTTGGTTTACTTTTCTGCTTTTCTTTTGTGCTCTCACTTCAAGTAAAGGCATTTATTTCTCCATAACTGTGCTGACAGGTGCCTGGTGAGCTTCACCCTGCTGCTGTCATGTGCATCTCATGCTAGTGGTGTGGCATGACTGTGGGGAGAAGGAACTCTGATGCAAGGTAATGTTGCATGGTGTGAATATAAGAAGTGACTCAGAGGGAGTGCCACATTTCATCTCCACAGCACAATAGGGGCCATGCCAAGAAACACTGCTAATGGAGCTGGTAGAGGGCCACCCAGGTGCAGTGCCCCAGCTGGCCATTTCAGAGCATGTTGCACCAGGAGAATTACCTACTGTTACACAAGATGATGGCTGACAAACCTGACTGAAGCTTAGCCTGGAGGCTACCATTTAGCAAAGCCTTAGCCATAGAGGACCCCTCCTTGCTCTCCTTCAACTAACTAAATTATGTCTCTACCCTTTTTTTTTTTTTTTTTAAATTTCCTTCTCTATTTACCTTTCTTCTATCTTTCTCCAAATTTCTTTCAAAATGGTAGAATGATGGAGTTTGCTTCTATCAACGGGGAAAATGCATATATGGCAGCTCTGTTGGAGGCAGATCTTTTCAGAAACCCAGTCCACAGTGCATGAGACCAAACTAGTAAGTTTGTGCAATAGCTTATCATGTTATCCAAAGCAACAGTCTGATTTCCTGCAATGTGGTTTTTGCATTGATAAAGCAGCATATAAAGTGTGGGATAATCCAGACAGGAAATTGTTGGTAACCTTGTAAACATCAGTAACTGTATAAATAAGGAGTAGCAGTTACTGCATTGTACGGAACAGATCTCAAAGGCCGCATGAACATAATGTGATAGGTA